TGGACAGGGGTACAGAATTGTAGCCACCATTGCCACTGATTAGGTGTTGCTGTAAAGTCAGCTATCAGGGCTAGATATACAGCTTTACCTGTATGGAGGTGTGGCTAAAGACTATTTTCCAATACATCTCCAATTCCACAGAACACCTCAAAGGGATAGTAGGCAGGGTCAGCAGGAGATGTAGAGGAGATGGTTCTTTGGCCCAAAAAATAGATAGCTGGTCCTGAAAAGTGACACTTGATGGAAATGTGGTCATAGCAATCTCTAGTAGCCAGTAGGAATGGGGCAGGTCCTTGGCCCAACCTGATGTCAATAAAAATTGCCAGAGAAGACGTGAAAGAACGAGGAAAACCTCAGAGGTGGAACAAGTGATATAGTAGAGGTTGCAAGGGCAAGGATGAACCATCCATTCATTTGTTCCTGGAATGGGTAACAAGGTATCTTCCTGTTGTAGATTCGAAGGTGATGTCATCTATTGATGTCCTCTAACTACTTATTTGCTTTCCTTTTTTTTAACTTACCATATTTTGTAAAACTGAGTCCCATATTTCATTATATTTGTCCATACAAATTAGTAGATTTTTAAAAAAAATCATAGATAGATAGATAGATAGATAGATAGATAGATAGATAGATAGATACTATATATGTATTAGAATATAGAATCACAGAAGTGAGTATACCCCCTCATATTTTGTAAATATTTAAGCATATCTTTTCATGGTGACAACAGTGAAGAAATGACATTTGGCTACAATGTAAAGTAGTGAGTATACAGCTTCTATAACTGTAAATGTGCTGTCCCCTCAAAATAACACAAAACACAGCCGTTAATGTCTAAATGGATGGCAACAAAAGTGAGTATACCCCTAAGTGATAATGTCCAAATGGGGCCCAAAGTGTCAATATTTTGTGTGGCCACCATTATTTTCTAACACTGTCTTAACCCTCTTGGGCATAGAGTTCACCAGAGATTCACAGTTTGCCACTGAAGTCCTCTTCCACTCCTCCATGATGATGTCACGGAGCTGGTGGATGTTAGAGACCTTGTGCACCTCCACCTTCTGTTTCAGGATACCCCATAGATGCTCAATAGGGTTTAGGTCTGGAGACATGCTTGGCCAGTCCATCATCTTTACCCTCAGCTTCTTTAGCAAGGCAATGGTCATTTTGGAGGTGTGTTTGTGGTAATTATCATATTGGAATACTGCCCTGCGGCCCAGTCTCTGAAGGGAGGGAATCATGCTCTGCTTCAGTATGTCACAGTACATGTTGGCATTCATGGTTCCCTCAATGAACTGTAGCTTCCCAGTGCCAGCAGCACTCATGCAGCCCCAGACCATGACATTCCCACAACCATGTTTGATTGTAGGCAAGACACATTTTTCTTTGTCCTCCTCACCTGGTTGCCGCTACACACGCTTGACACCATCTGAACCAAATAAGTTTATTTTGGTCTCATTGGACCACAGGACATGATTCCTGTGGTCCAACGTGGTTCCAGAAATACACGTTCTTAGTCTGCTTGTCTGAAGCAAACCATTTGCGGGCTTTCTTATGCATTATCTTTAGAAGTGGCTTCTTTTTGGGATGGCAGCCCTGCAGACCAATTTGATGCAGCATGCAGCATATGGTCTGAGCACTGATAGGCTGCTCAGAGAAAGAGAGGAAAAACAGAGAAACAAATGACAGAGAGAAGGGAGAGAGGGAGAGAGAAATGAGCTGGAGGGAGAGCATGAGAGAGAGGGAAAAGAGGGAAACAGAGAAGGGGAGAGAAAGAAAGAAAGAAAGAAAGAAAGAAAGAAAGAAAGAAAGAAAGAAAGAAAGAAAGAAAGAAAGAAAGAAAGGAAAGAAAGAAAGAAAGAAAGAAAGAAAGAAAGAAAGAAAGAAAGGAGATGGAGAGGAAAAAGAAAAACAAGAGAGGGGGGGGGAGGGACCCATTTACCGCAGAAAACACCCAGAGCCACAAAACCTGAGTAGGCGTGGCTGGGGCAGGTCATGTGACTGGGTGGGAGTGACATTGAATTGGCCATGCCCACCCAAGTTTTCTGGCTCCCAGTGTTTTCTTTTCTGTGGGAAACAGGTCCAGAGCCCAGCCTAGGACATCTTTATGTAGAGCAACAATTTATTTTTTCAGATCCTCAGAGTAATGTGAATGATGTAGGAATAGTATAGGATCAGCTACATGAACACTGAAGGACCCTCTTTATTCACATTATTATAAAGAAAGAAATGTGCTTGTTTAGAAATTACACTAGGTCAGCTAAATTCCATTCTTGGTAATATATATCTTCTTAGGGGCCTAGCTGTCAAGGATGCAGGGATGCAAGGACATCCATATGTAATATATATCTTCTGAGGGGCCTATCTGTCAAGGATGCAGAGACATCCATCTGAAACAAAAAGTTAATTATTATCCAAAAGCAGTCATGAATCTACGCATCAGCAAACACAGAATTGAGGAAGGTTGTTTAGCTAAAATAATCTCATGAACTAGAAAATAATGAAAGAATTTAGTAATTAGAAAGTGTCAATTATAATGTAACAAATGTATGTTAACCATATATGGAAAACTGCTGTGCTTGCAAAATCCTTTGTCTTGGAGATGTATAAAAGCAGTTGTATCAGAGCTCTTCTTGGTTCAGAATTGCAGATACAAATCTGGTTCTGAAACTGTGCAAATAAACTGTCTCTGGCTGACCTAGGAATGTTGTTTGGTCCCATCATTCCATAACAAGAGAATTCATTTCCATCAGGTGCCATGTCGAACTTCCAGTGACTATGAAAGAGAGAGAGTGATAACACCAAATTTAACACATCTGCTCCCCCTTCACACCTGAGACCTTGTATCATTAATGAGTCACATGACTCCAGGGACCGAAAACGGCTACTTGGGCCCCATTTGGACATTGTTACTTAGGGGTGTACTCACTTTTGTTGCCACCCGTTTAGACATTAATGGTTGTGTGTTGTGTTATTTTGAGGGGACATTTACACTGTTATACAAGCTGTATACTCATACTTTACATTGTAGCCAAGTGTCATTTCTTCAGTGTTGTCACATGAACAGATATACTTAAATATTTACAAAATATGAGGAGGTATACTCACTTCTGTGATATACTGTATATGTATTATTCACATTTATATGAATAATAATTCTTTAGATAACTATATATACAGTTGTAACTACTGTATTTACAGGTTACAATTGTGTTAAAATAATAAATTATACTTTGCTGTATTTTTCACTTTAAAAAGCACTGTCTGTGATTTTTATATCTTTGACAATGATGTATTGCTATCTTTCTGGTTTTTTATAATTATTTTAAAAATCAATAAAAATATTTTTAAAAATACTACTGAGGCAGTGAGCAGCTCATTAGGAGGAGATCAAAGAACAGACTGCCCATCATTAGGAGTTTTTGTCTCTTTGATAGATCTGCAATCTGCTTTGGGAAACATCATCTGTACATAAGTTAATAGATGTTGTATCAATTATGAATTGATACATTCCCATGAAGATATTTTCTAAAAAGAAAGCGGTGGATTTGCCAGTCAAATTGCTCAAGAGTCTTGTTGATTGTTATTAATATCACCACTGCCAGTATTGCTTTATACACTTTATGAGGAATGAACACCAACAGCTCAGGATGTTTTGTCTGCAAAAAAAATCTGCAGAAGTGAAAACAGAGTTTTAGAGGAATAAATATTCATTTTAAGCAGAAGTCAGTAAGAGTAAAATAATATTAATTTCAGAACTAACTTCGTAAGAGAATAACTGTAACCATCTATGCTATAACCTTCTGTTTGCAACACAAGACTCTATCCGTAGATGACCGCGTGGCCTAATGGATAAGGCGTCTGACTTCGGATCAGAAGATTGAGGGTTCGAGTCCCTTCGTGGTCGATTATTTTAGTATGTTGGCAATAGATCTACAACTAAAGTCAAAGATGAAATTTCCGATTTGTTATCCACCAGCTGAAACGCCCAACAATACAAGAAATAAAAAATCGTTCTTCAGATATGGTTTGTTTCCATAATTTAGGACTGTATTTGGTTTTATGCAGGGAACAATACGTCACGCTGCATCAAAAATAAGGAACCGAATAGTGAACGAAGCACAAAATCATAACACACAATGCCATTTTATTTTTAGGCTATTTAAAGCTTATTTGTTTTTCTTGCAAAAGAAAATGTGAACGGAAAGCATCTGCAAAAAGCAACGACTAAGAACCTTACCAAGAGGGAGCAGGAAGGAAATATTTACAGCTTTTCTGTAAGAGGGGAAAAATGAAATACCTTTACTCGCAAAGCCCCAGTGGCCTAATGGATAAGGCACTGGCCTCCTAAGCCAGGGATTGTGGGTTCGAGTCCCATCTGGGGTGGAGAGAAATTGTTTTGTCTTAAATGCTTCCGCCTTGAAAAATCATTTATTTCCCTAAATTATTAGGTAAGAACAAATGCTGTATTGTAAAACTTTCAGCCATCACAGATTTTGATGAATGAAAGTTGATCCCAAAGGCTTCAGTATCTTTCCCCAATAACAATTCTTTAGATTCTCAGGTGATACTTTTGCCATTAGGTTATATGCAAACAAACATACTGGAATAAAATAGAGTGCATATGAAAAATGTAGGCACAATTACAGGTATAATCTATTTATGACAACAAGCCAGGGTATCTCATACTTTCAGGTTCTTTACACTTCCAGTCAGACTACAATTGCCAAGAGTGCATAAAATGATCTGCTAAATCATGACTTCACAGAGAACAACATCAAGATTTCAAAAAGTAGTAAGTAATGGACACTAATGGGCAACAATTTATTAATTAACCAGAAGAGAAAGAGAACCTTTTTATGAGAGTGGCAGGAAAAATGCCAGTTCTGATGGATAGAGAGAATAATTTGTCAGCAAATATTTAGAACTGTCATAAAGGGCTTGAGATATTAAACACAGCTTTCCTACAGCCAAGAGAGGTCTGACTCAAAGGCAAAACGATTTCAGTTTCTTGCCTCAGTAAATTCTGGGGTCTAGAAATTTCTCAGTTCTACTTTAAATATTTTCAAAACTTCAGAGAAAGAAGAAGAATGTGGAGAGCTGTTAGAATCGTTTTTCTCTTCTCTTGGATATCAGGTAAATATTTTTTTTTCTTCTTCTCCCACCCAAATGTTTTCCTAGGAACTGATAAATCTATTGTAGTGCATGCATGGATTAAGACTGGAGTGAAGAATAACAATGATGGCATTCAGGGGCTTCCAAAATGATTATACACAACAAAACTAAAGAAAAAACAAGGTGAACAACTTATTCAGTTCATCTCTGCAGGGTAAATATTGATATGTGGTTTTTTTTTTCATAAAGAGGATAACAAAAATGAGATTAATGATATTTGAATGTTTGAGAAAGCAAAATGAATAAGCAGCAGGAATGCTTCCTTCTTCTAGGGATGTGCTCCATGGTAGCTGTCTCTTGACCTTCTTCTTTAACAATGATGTGCATGGTCCATTTCATGTGGCTCATGCTAGGAACAAAAATATGGTTTGTGTTATTGGATTTTATTATAAGATTTCACCAAAGTTGAGAAATACACCCCTACATAGACAGAAGGGGTGAATGAGATATAAAGTTGGTAAAATGAGGACCCAGATTGTTGGAGGCAATATGCTGACTCTGTAAACTGTTATAAAGAGGCTCTATGGGTCTGTTGCTATTGCTACAAAACATTCAAAGGTGGAGAACGCTGGAATGTTTTATCCACCCATAAAGGAGATAGTGTTGTGTGATTCTGATTTTTTTTTAAAAAAAACCAAAGAACGTGTTTGTTGATTTCCACATTGTGCTTCCCAGATGCTAGCATGAGACAGAACTGTAAATATCATGATGTGGTTGAGTACTTGAACATCTCCTCCAAGCAGGAACTCCTTCTATATTCTATACCAAAGAAGAATTGGGAAGAGAATTTGGAAGTTGGCCTTCAATTCACTCTCATCTCCATTCTTTCAGTGGTAAGAGAGAACAATTGCCGTGTTTGTTGTTCAGAAGCAAAAGTGATGCAAATAGTGAACAGAGAGATACTGTAAAGTGTTAGTTGAGAAAAGAGAATTAAGACTTTCTGTATGTATGACTTGTTAGAAGGAGAATCCTTGCTTGTTCTGGAAAGGTAGATCCATGGAATGCCATGATGGATATATCAGTAGGCCAAACTGAACAGGCCTCTCTCAACACGGGGGGGGGGGGTGTACAACATAATCTATCTCCAATCTACAACACAGTCCTTTCAAAGTTCGAAGAAGGCTCCACCTCAATTTGCACCACTCAGGTGACCCTGAGGACACAGATAAACCTCCAGGTGGCCTCAACAACTCTCTAAAAGAATGCAAAAGACCAGCTGTCTGCAAGGAGTATAAATCCTTCCATTCCCCACTATGCAGTCAGAGCTGAAGAAGCTTCTTGGATGAGAAGTGAAACGTCTTCAAAGAGAAGAAAAACCAGAAAATCCAGTTGCCTCGTGGGTCAGTAGTGTGTGTGTGATTATGTGTATAAGTATATGTAAATCATCTTTTTTTCCACTCCACTCTGCTGCACAAATGAACTTGATTTGTACACGCAAATATACATAATCACACACGATTGACAGATCCACCATGGCACTCCCTAACAGTCTCGGAGGCATTCCCTGAGGTCAGAGAAATTCACTTACTGAGAAAAGATTTCCATTGGTGCAATATGGCATATGGCCAACTAGACTGTGGATTGTGACTGATTTCTGAAGGCTGGAAGAAGGATGCATTCATTTTTTTCCTTTTTATTTTTTCTCCTTTGCAGCAGGAAAAATTGCAAGTGGCCACATTCTACTTCTGGCTAAATATGGTAAGGGTACTCATTTTGCTCTTCTACCAGTAGCAAAAGTATTTGTGTTTTCTAGAAACCTAAGATTAGTGTTTTTAAAACAATAATGTACACCTTTTGAATTATTTCTTTGTCCTTTACTAGGTTTGGAAAAATGAATTTATCAGTTGGAACCCTTTGGACTTCTGTAACATTACCAATATCACTCTTCCTGTGAACCTTTTTTGGACTCCTCACATTTTCATAGATGAACAGTATCTTTTCTATTTTCCTTACCTTTTAAATATGTTTTAAAACTTCATTTTTAGAGAAAATTCACACTAATACAGTTTTACAGTACTATCAGTATTGACTGCTACATCTATACACATTGACTCAAAGTTTTGATTCATTCCCACATCTAGATATTTAGGAATACCATAAAGAAAAGCAGCATTTTGGCACCAATTGCCAATATTTCAGAAAGATTCAGTAATTTTTGCATCTAGGTCTGATACAATTTAACATTCTTTAAAACAGGGTTTGTTACAAATCTGATTACATCTAGATTAATGCAAAACAGCTGTAGAAAACAGATGAATTGTGATTCTTCTTTTTACTAGTTTATGGGGCAGGAACATTGTCCACACAAGTAAGTTCTATTTTGATTAATGGGTCTGACATCAATTCAGTATTATAGGTATTATAATATTACATTGTAGCCTTAATTATGATCAAAACCAAACCACCTCTAGCATCAGCCTGGGAAAACTGAATTTCTGTCATTTGTGTCATTTGGATTTTACGACTGGCTACTTGGTTGTTATACCAATGAAGATTTTTTTTCCTCACATATTTTGATTGTTATGCCCTCAAAAAGATTTCCTTATATATATATATTGCACATATTTGACAGCAATATTATGTAATATGTGCAAAACACAAACTTCTATTAATTACAATATTTTCCTTTCAGGGCAGATGAAGATAAGTACACAGTTAGCCATTTTCTTCACCTGTCCTTTGATGGCTCCATTGTTTTATTCCAAGCATATCAGCTCACTTCTGCCTGCAACCTGGATGTCCACAAATTTCCTTTTGATGAGCAAAAGTGCAACATAACTATGGCGCCATCATTATATACAGGTATCTTAGTGGAGCATGCAATTATGGTTTATCATGAATTTTGCTTGCCCTTCCTTTCTACACAGATTCTGACAGGTTCTGGAGAACCAATAGCGGAAATTTTGAGTAGTTTGGAGAACCGGCAAATACCACCTTTGGCTGGCCCCAGAGTGGGGTGGGAATGGGGATTTTGCAGTATCCTTCCCCTGGAGTGGGATGGGAATGGAGATTTTCCCCTGGAGTGGAGTGGGAATGGAGATTTTGCAGTATCCTTCCCCTGCCATGCCCACCAAGCCATGCCCACCAAGCCACACCACGCCCCCCACGCCACGCCCACAGAACCAATAGTAAAAAAAATTGGATTTCACCAGTTGGTTTGAGGTACTGAATGATGTAGGCTAACTTTAATTTATTTATTCTTTTATTTTTCTTGATTTTATACTTGTTTTAATCCTATATTAGCCTCCAACCATTCAGCTGAAATTTGCGAGTTGGGCTGCCCCATAAATATATATAGGTACATATATGCATTTATGCATTCATGATTATTGCTCATTTCCATCACTAAAGGGAAGATTTCAGCCTATAGGACAGAATGTAACAACTTAATCATCTATTTTTTAATTTTGTTTTCTGTATATATTTTATATCAGACTTCCCAATCTGGCTGCTTCTCAGATGTGATGGTCAGACACTTGGGAAATGCTATTCCAATACAGGTAGTCCTCAAATTACAACCCACAATTGGGACCAAAATTTCTGTTGCTAAACAAGATGGCTGTTACATGAGCCATGCCCACTTTTATAATCTTGGTTGTTAAACGAATCACTGCAGTTGTTAATTGAATCACACAGTTGTTAAGCAAATCCCCATTGACTTTGCTGTCAGAAGCCCGCTGGGAAGCTTGCAAATGGTGATCTCAGGACCCTGGGACACTGCAACTGTCACAAGTACACGTTTGTTGCCAAGCACCTGAATTTTGATTATGTAACTATGAGGTTGCTGCAATGGTCGTAAGTGTGAAGACCAGCTGTAAGTCACTTTTTTCAGTGCCATTGTAACTGTGAATAGTTGCTAAATGAATGGTTATAAATCAAGGATTAGCTGTGTAACTTGGAGGATAACAGGAAGGGGATGAACCTTCTATCTATTCAATATAGGACTGCCTTTCTTCAGACTGTCCTAAATTGGCATTTCTCTGGGTCATGGGTCTTATATTCTTTCTAGAAAATGAAGTGAAGTTGAAAAACATTAAAACTTCCAAAAGCACAAATCAAGAAAGTCACAAATATTATTTAGCCGGTGGAGAATGGAAGTTTCAGAAAGTGGAGATCATTGAGGAAACCCAAATTTACAATCTCTCGAAATACAGTACAGTCACCTATGAGGTATGGTTATGAATGTATTTACTCTACATCTTCTTTGTCAGATGATGTCATGATATGCGGGAGCAAGCTTGGGAGACAGGAAAGACCCACAGCCATGGGAATAATCAGAAAAGCAGCAGCTGGGTCCTCAGATGGGGGCGAGGGCTTGAACCTGACTATTTATTTGAACATCTCTGGCAACATAGATGGCATATAAATTTATTTTGGCTTACCTTCTAATAATCCTTCTGCCTCCTATTTCCTCCAAACAACAACTCTGTTGGGCCTATGAGTTTTAGTCCCACTTTAGGCAAGAAAGTCAACTGAGTAACTTCAGGCCATGAGCTGGGCCTGAGAGAACAACTGGGCCAAGGTTATCCAGCTGGCTTTCTTGCCTAAAGCGAGACTTAGAACTCAAAGTCTCCTGCTTTCTAACCTGGTGCCTTCACCACTAGACCAAACTGACTGTGTGTACAGTATATCCATATATACAGTACCTACTTTTCCCATGTTGGAATAATATATTAAATTCTACAATCCATAGCAATGTGTTTGCAAGTTCTCGCAGCTTCCTTTTCTGAAATCCAATGTTCACTGGATGACTTTGGTTCATTCAAATTAAGAGCCTTGGTGGCACAGCAGACTAAAGCACTGTTAAGTAACACCAGCTGCCTGCAATAACTGCAAGTTCAAATCTCACCAGCCTCAAGGTTGACTCAGCCTTCCATCCTTTCGAGGTAGGTAAAATGAGGACCCGGATTGTGGGGGCAATAAGATGACTTTGTATAAAAAATGAACACTGCTTCGGGGGGGGGGCAAAGCCCTACTAAGCAGGTATATACAAAAGTATGAAGGCTATTGCTTAACACATTGTAAGCCGCCCTGAGTCTCCGGAGAAGGGTGGCATATAAATCGAACCAATAAATAATTCTCTCTTTCTCTGCCCAACCAATGTCACAGGAGTGCTAATTAGGTTTGTTAGAAACATAGAAAACTGACAGCAGAAAAAGACCTGGTGGCCTGTCAAATCTGATCCTTGAATTTATTTGTTTTTTGTTTTCTTTTTAATTTATTGATTTATTTATTATTTTTCATTATTATTTTATATTTTATTTATTTATTTATTTATTTTATTTTTGCCAGATGATGGGCATGTGCTTATTCCAAACTTGTTTAAACTCAGTTAATGATGATTGACTCCCCTACTTCCACAGGAAGTTCGTTCCAAGTTGCACTGCTTTTTCTGTGAAGTAAGACTTTCTAAGAAAGCATTGATCTTTGCGGTCTTTTTAAGCAATACTATTCACTGCCTTTAGTTGTGTATAAATCAGTAAAGGGGGTATAGTAAATATATAAAGAAATAGAAAAATTGTGCACAGAAAAATAGAAAGAAGAAGCATTTTTTATACTGCCTCTAGTTCCTAATTTAGAGACAGGATCTGAAACCAAGAAATAAACAAAGACAACAAATATAGTGCTGACTTTCTATCCGGTCCTCCTCCAACTGCATTTATGAGGTTACTGCTTCATTCTTACAGCAGATAAGGTGTTTTCCCCAAAATAAGATCCTGTCTTATTTTTTTGAACCCTGAAAAAAGTGCTTGGCCTTATTGCCATGCGCTCAAAAGCCCGATTGGGCTTATTATCAGGGGATGTCTTATTTTGGGGAAAACAGGGTACAGGAATTGTACTCTTCTTCACTGTGTTTTAGAAAAGATAGCTCCTATGTTGCTTCATGTAGAAAAAGAGCCTTACTGCAGACCATAATGGATATTTTGCTGCAAATCAGAGAAGCTGCAGAACCAGACCATTAGATTCTGCCTAGGTTCTGTAAATACTTTGTTTTCAATAAAACCATAATTCCCTCTTTTATCCTGTTTTCATCTGGCTGAGCCTCCAAAGCTTTTTTTTTCTTTCTTAATGGATCTTTATAGTCTAAAATTTCAAAGATCCTTCTTTTTTTCTCTGTCAACAAGATAAAAGGCTTGCTGGATCTTTGCCTGACAAACTGTTCAAAGACAATTTTTAAGCTCAAAGTATCAATTTTTTCAATCAGAAATTTGAGCAAGAAATGGCCCTAGCATTAGTGATCAATTTCAGAGTCTCTCCAATGGCAGTTTCCATTAATTCAGTCCAGGGGTGAAATCCAGCAGGTTCTGACAGATTCTGGAGAACTGGTAGCAGAAATTTTGAGTAGTTCAGAGAACCAGCAAATACCACCTCCGGTTGGTCCCAGAGTGGGGTGGGAATGGGGATTTTTGCAGCATCCTTCTCCTGCCATGCCCACCAACCAATGCCCACAGCTGATCTGTTTTACATCTGGAACATGAACGTTTAGTTTGTCAGATGTAAATGCCTTAATTCTCCAATGTGTAAATAATGTATATATGGAACATCAGAGGTTAACTTATTCTTTGACTTTAATGTATTCATAACTTACCACTCCCATTCCTAGCTCCACCCCTTGTATATATAAGGAACCACCCTCACCTTTCCGTTGCTTCTACCTTGAATATTCAGTGAATATAGAATGCCTATCATAATTAAAAAGAAATAAATTTAAAAGCTCTAACTCCCATTATCTTTATTGAGTCTGATCCTGAAATATTGCAACAATCTGGTAGCAGAGGATGGTTAATTGACTCAATAAGTAATTAAAAATGTCCAAGAAAGATAGGCCCAACACCAGGGCCTACAGCAAAGAAATAGAAACTGATCAAGAGATGATCAACGAATCCACCAATGCGATTTTCGAGAGAATCCGAAGAATACACCACTGAAGAAAAGAACTAATGAGTGAAAATAATGACCAGAAAGAAATCGAAATAGAAAATAACGAACTCAGGTCAGAGATATTAAAGATACTAAAAAGCCAAAAGAATGATGAAAGTCTCATCGCGGACCTCCAGGAGATGCTGAAGAACAGCGGAGCAGCGAGAGAGAAAAACGTCATTAAAGAAAAACCCAAAGATCAAAAAACCGTAAGTGAGATGACTACTGAGAAAATAGTTGTTAAAAAGAAAAGATGTGATCCCGCGCGAAATTTTGAATGGCAGCCATCTTGGTTTCAACGAACTTCAAAAGAGAATGGAGCAGAGCCAATCAAACGCTCAGTTCAAAATTTCTGGCGCGAAAAACACTATCAGACGAAGAAAGTGAGGAAGAAGTCTCAAACTCTTCAGATGATCCAAAATCAGAAAGTGAAGACGATTTAACAAAACTCAAGTAAAATCAGCAATGAAAACACTTTTTGCTGCTTTTGGGCCAAGACTGAAAATTACCAAGACATCTACGAAGAAGCAAGAAATCAAACCGGCGACTCAAAACCTGCACGCTCCCATCCTGACTTCGAAAGCGACGACGCCCGAGCCAGAGAGCCATGCCGATTTCGCCCTACACCACAGACAAGATCGAATACCAACGCACACAAAAAGAAGAAAAAGAACCGTCGCCACCACCAGAACCCCAAAAACCGAGCCAGAACCGACTCATCTGAGGAGGAGCGGATCGAGAGAGCTGAAAGGGAGAGAACCTTCCACGACGCCACAAAGAAGAAATGAGCAACGCGCATGTGCGAAACTACGTAGACGACCCAGAAGGACTTGAACTGGCCAGAGAACCGCGCAGACTCATTGCAAGCATCCCAATGCCGTTCTGTAATTTTCCTGCACTTGAGAGATCACGGACTGCCCCAGGTTGTAAGTAATGGACAGAATAATGTAGGTAACTTACCCAGTGACTTCCCAAAACTTAGAATTGATGGCATTAATTTACAAGAGTGGTATCAACAGCTTCAGGTTATTTTCATGAAAGAAAATTTACTATTCTTTATAACTAGCCCTCCAAGAAGACCTGGACTTTAAAAATAGATTGTTTACATCATAGAGCATTTTTCATAATAATATCTAGCGTGTCTCCTGCAATGTATCATAGCATCAAACCAAACCTAACTGTATCAGAAATAATTCAATGCATGTTTAATCTATTTCACAGCGATAGCGTAGCTACAACCACAAGAATGTCTAAGGATTTCTTTTCCTCTAGAGTAAAACCAGGGGTTTCTATAAGTGAGCATTTGATAAATCTAAACAAAATAAGAGCTGAGCTACAATTGAGGGGGAAGTGATTTCAGATCAAACAATGAAAAGTGTTATTATCAATTCACTTGATCCATCATGGGATAGCTTTATGTCACACTTAGATACCATTAATTTGGGATATTTATCCATAGAAAGTCTATCTAACAAATTGATAGCAGAAGACAATTCAAGAAAAAAATCGATCCAGTAACCAAACAGACCACAAACCTTTTAGGAAAGTAGTCTTTCAAGATAAACATAATGAGGCCTTTAGATGCTACAATTGTGGATCCAGGGAACATAGTAGAAGAGACTGTCCCAAAGTCTCAAGAGAGAGACATAGGCCAGAATATAGGAGCAAATATAATTACAGACAATCTTCCACAGATAGACACAAATATAGAAGTCCACCAAATTACAAAGAAGAAGTAGAGGGGGTAGAGAAAATTCAAAAGAGAGGAAATCTGGGTCACTGAATGGGCTAAATAAACAAGACAGCACCAGAACACAGCAGGATGAGAATAACAATTGGCTTATTGATTCTGGTGCAAAACAAATCACACCACCAACAACAAAAGTATATTATCTTCATTTATAGAAGATAAGTTTGTGATAAAGATAGCTAATCAAGAAAAGGTTCAAGTACTAGGCAAAGGAAATGTGACCTTGCCTGGTCTAGGGAAATAGAGGGGGTATTATTAAATCCCCGAAATACCTCACAACATACTAAGTGCCATAAAATTAAGCAGAGAATCTGATATCAATATAGTTTTCTCAAAAGGATAGCAACTATAGAAAAGAACAAAACAATGCAGGTACTGTAATGATTAAAGGAGGTCTACCCTATCTGATAACTAAAGAAAGATGTTTTACATAACATTGATTCAAATATGGAAGATTGTATTGAAGCAGATGATGAAAATGTCAGTAACAGTGACAATGATGAGTGTAGAATAACTCATGATCACAAAATACATACAAGGAAAAGAAACCAAAAATAGGTAAACCAATTCATGATGAGTGTGCTCACATCTTACACAGGAAGTTAGGACATGCAAGCTTTCCTGTAGTACAAAAAATGACTGAACACGCAGAAGGTGTCAAAATAAAAAATTGTGAAAATTATTTGGAATGCTCAGTATGTAAATCCACCAAACTAAAAACCAGTCCCAGACCAAAAAAATCTAACAGATCAACTAACAATATTTTTGATTTGGTAACATATGGACTTAGTTGGTCCATTAAGTCCCTCAATTACCTATAGAAAACGTTACTTCCTAACAATAGTGGATGACTACAGCCGATATGGTTTGTTTACACATTAAAGCACAAGATGAAACATTTCAGAAATTTAAGGAATTCTACAAACGTATAGAAACACAACATAATATCAGAATAAAGCAAATTATGACAGATAGGGGATGTGAGTTCATGTCTAAAGAATTCTCCCAATGGTTAAAGGATAGAGGAATGTTACATTTCACGTCCAATCCTTTTTCTGCATTTCAAAATGGAGTTGCAGAGAGGAAAAATTCCACACTACAAACCATGATTAGGTGCACATTAGAGGATGCTGGTTTAGGCAAACAATTTTGGTCAGAGGCATTACATTATTCGAATTACACTCAAAATAGAACCTGGTCCCAGTATTGTGAATAAGACACCATATGAGGTGATGTACAATAGAAAACCCAAATTATCACACATGCACATATTTGGAGTCACTGCAGACGTACACATACCTAAACAATTGAGGAGAAAGGGAGAAAACGTATCCAGGAGATTAAGATTCATGGGATACGAAACTGGAACCAAAGGGTACAGATTTATTGATAGTAATAACAAATTTATAGTATCCAGAACAGCTGTGTTCCATGAACAGGCCAATTGGTCAAAATTGCACCTTAATGAAAATATTTCCTAATAAATGTAAAGATACGATATCTTGCGAGGAAGGAACAACAGAAAATCAAAATATTAACAAAAGTAAGAACAAAACCAAAACTTGGACTAATAGTCAGCATAAAATAAAGACAGACACATTAACAAAAAAGGAAGCTAGATATTTGCATGATAACCATAGCAAGCCTGAAAGAACTATTAGAAACAATAGAAACCAAATACCAAATATAAATACAAAGATTACATAATGCATATGAATGGAGAACAAATAACACCTAATACATATGAAGAAGTATTGAAACTTCCACATGAAGAAAGAGAAAAATGGGAACTAGCTATGGAAAAAGAGATGGAAAGTTTACAAGGATTAAATGTATTCACACCTGCGATCGCACCTAAGGATAAAACAATTATAGGTACCAGGTGATTTATAAAATTAAGAACTTAGAAGGAGGCAATACCTTATACAAGGCTAGACTAGTTGCACAAGGCTATGCACAAAAATATCCAGAAGACTATACTGATACATATTCACACCACAGTGAGAACAGAGAGTGTCAAAACAGCCCTTGTAGTAGCATCTGCACTCAATCTGGAGACGTATTCCAATATGACATACAGACCGCATACTTACATGCAAAATTAGATAAGGAAATATATGTAAGAGCACCACACAGTCAATACACTAATAAGAACGAAATTTGGTTATTAAATAAGAGTCTGTACGGATTAAAGCAATCCGGCAAAAGATGGTACGATTGCTTGGTAAAAGTACTTAAGACCATGGATTTCAACGCCACCACTGCTGATAATTGTTTCTTTGTAAAAAAGAGTAATGATCATATTGAATTTGTATTAATTTACGTGGACGATATTTTATTACATTGGAAAGCATAAAGAGAGCAGAGAAATCTTTGTAAATAAGTTAAATGAACAACTTCTCACTGAAATCTCTGGGTAAAGTGAATAAATACCTTGGTGTGCAAATTAACAAAACTAAAAGGGATTCAAACTTACACAGAAAGATAAAATCATCGAACTCCTAAACAAATGTAACTTAAATAATGCCAAAACCTGTGACACCCCTATGCAAACTGATTTTCTTAGAAACACTGATGAATCTTCCCCTGAGTTTAAAGACAACACATTTTACAGATCAGTTATAGGTTCACTCCTTTATATATCTAATTGGACTAGCCCAGATATTGCATTACCTCCAATCTATTGTCAAGATATGTTAGTAAACCAACCTTGTATCATTGGGAAGCTGTCAAAAGAATTCTAAGATATCTGAAGGGTACATTAGATTTTTGTTTAATGTTGGAACCCAATAATGACAGAGAACCAAAAATTACTTGTTATGCTGATGCAGATTTGGCTGGTGATACATCATGCAGAAAGAGTACTTCTGGTTATGTTTTTCTATTGAATGATTGTCCAGTTTACTGGTATACTGGTAAACAAGAACTAGTAGCCACTTCTACTACAGAAGCGGAATATGTTTTGTTTGTCCAAGGCTGCAAATAACCTTGTATGGTTCAATGATCTGATCACTGATGTTGGAAGAAACCCACTTTACCATTATTATGCATGAAGACAATAAAGCGGCCATTGAAATATCCAGATCCGATGCAATTGGACAAAGGTCCAGGCATATGGATATAAAGTTTAAGCATGTGAGACAACTGTCTCAGACGGATTCATTAAAGCAATACATTGCGATACTTCTGAACAATTAGCTGACATATTAACAAAACCCTTACCTTCTAAACACACAAATATTTAACTTCTAAATTATATGTATTATATTGTCCTGAATCAGAATGTAAATTGGTGTTGTGTAACGAACCGGCATTTAGAGGGGGATTTGTCAGATGTAAATGCCTTATTCTCCAATGTGTAAATAATGTATATATGGAACATCAGAGGTTAACTTATTCTTTGGACTTTAATGTATTCATAACTTACCACTCCCATTCCTAGCTCCACCCCTTGTATATATAAGGAACCACCCTCACCATTCTCGTTGCTTCTACCTTGAATATTCAGTGAATATAGAATGCCTATCATAATTAAAAAGAAATATATTTAAAGCTCTAACTCCCATTATCTTTATTGAGTCTGATCCTGAAAATATTGCAACATAGTTTACTATAATTTAACCCCACCTCACCATCCAGGTTTATTCAGCAATGGAATAATTGCTGAGGTATACCACTTCACTGGTTGTGGGTTGAAGCTAAGACTCTGTCAAAAAAACAAAACCATGGACCCAGAAGCATCTGTGAGGGAAGAGGAGATAGCAGCAAATAAAGTCACGATGGTGACTCTGTCATGTAATCAAAAGTCCTTGAAGTGCATAAAAAAGAAGCAGGTTTCTATTGTACGGCTGCAGCTGTCATCCTGACCTTTTAATTTCTCTCTTGATATCCTTGCTTGGACCTAGAGTTGGTTTAGACCAGGCATGTCCAACCCACAACCCATGGGCCATGCAGCTTTGGACAGCTAGTAATATGGCCTCAGAAGATCATCAACTTTTAACATGATAGTCTGCTATTTATACATATTGACTGTGTTAGATATTTTATATGGAGCCTAAGACAATTCTTCTTCACTCAATGTGGCCCAGGCAAGCCAAAATTGGACAGCCATGATTTAGACAATCAGTTAAGCCTAGCCTTGGCGTGATTTAGCAGTTTGTACAACTGAAATTTATGCTGGTCCTGGAAATGTTGTGTTACTTTAGTACCTTTTCTTTTTACAGATTATTATGAAGAGGAGATCCATTCTTCATGAATTAATTGTGATTCTGCCGATGTTTGTTCTCTTCTTGCTGGATATGGCTATTTCTTATGCTTTTGCCTCTCCTGCAGAAAAGATTGCTTTCAAAGTGACCATGATCTTGCAGGTCTCATTTTTGTCTGTGATGCTTATTGACAAGTTACCACCAACGTCAGATTATCCACCAGTAATAGGTAACTACCTAATCATGTGGAATATTCAATAGTAGACTCCTTGGAACAGGTAGGGCTAATTGCTCATCATTTTTAGCAAGTTACATGTTGTGTGAATCATTCATATATCATGTGTCTTGGATACTATATAAAATGTCTACATATTTCATTACATATCTTAATGAGGGATGGCCACATCACATGGAATTAAAATCTAAAAGATTTCTGTAGAACACAGTAAAGTAACTCTGACATGAGACAGAACTCATTGACATAAGAGCCATAGCTCTGTGCTGCTACTTAAGTTGATAAAAGGAAAAATATAGTAATATAATTGTTAGAGGAGGTTGAAGGGGGCATTAATGAACTTGACTTTCTCAGAAAAGTTGATGGAGTTTGCAGAATTTCAGGGTGAAATTCAAAATTTTTCCCTACCGGTTCTGTGGGCGTGGCTCAGTGGATGTGACAGGGGAAGGATATTGCAAAATCTCCATTCCCACCCCACTCTGGGGCCAGCCAGAGGTGGTATTTGTCGGTTCTCCAACTACTCAAAATTTCTGCTACTGGTTCTCCAGAACATGTCAGAACCTGCTGGATTTCACCCCTGGGAGATATCATATGTAATTAAAGGATGGCTGTACAGCAGGGGTGAAATCCAGCAGGTTCTGACAGGTTCTGGAGAACCGGTAGTGGAAATTTTGAGCAGTTTGGAGAACCGGTAGTGGAAATTTTGAGTAGTTCAGAGAACTGGCAAATACTACCGCTGGCTGGCCCCAGAGTGGGATGGGAATGGAGATTTTGCAGTATCCTTCCCTCAGGAATGGGGAGGGAATGGGGATTTTGCAGTATCCTTCCCCTGGAGTGGAGTGGGAATGGAGATTTTGCAGTATCCTTCCCCTGCCATGCCCACCAAGCCACACCCACAGAACCGGTAGTAGAAAAATTTGGATTTCACCACTGCTGTAAAGATATAGTGGGTCCCAATTTGTGGAAGATTTGGTGTACAAGTATTATGGAGATATTCTCAATGGTCACCTTCTTTTTTGGAGAGTGAGGAGCAGTTATTTAGAGAGATTCCATTCATAATTTTAAAGAAAAGCAAATATGATAAACTGGAAGCTTTTTATTATCAAGAACTAATCAATGGTATTTGATCCTGGATGGATCAGAGACAATGATTGTACTGGTAATGATTTATGAGAAAATAGAAGCTGCTTATGGACTTTCTGTGAGTTCAGTGCAACAATAGATTGTTAACAGAGGACTCTGAAGTTTAGCTTCATGGTTGGGTGCTACCTTTTGCCTTCCAGAAGGGCATTAAACTTGGTTTTGCTAGTTGGCTTAGGGCCACAAGGGGTTGCTCATCCCTGGAGATGGTTGACAGGATAAAAAGACCTCATCACCATCCCCATCTATCTTCTTGATTCTGGTTTTCAGCAGTTTTAAATTTTTTAATGTGCATAGTTGTAAAATTTTAAATTGCTTTTCTATTTATCTTTTTACATTATATAAGCTGTCCAGAGTCATCCTATTGGGGAAATAGGCAACATATAACATATAGGCTGTTTCTTCTTCTTCTCCACAGCAATGTTTTTTATCGGAATCTTTGCATTTATGGTCCTTGGCATCCTAGAGAATGCCTGCATGGAATATTTCAAGGAGCAGAATTCAAAGTTCCCATCCTTCAAGACCAAGAACTTTCTAAGAAAATTCTTGCGAAAGAAAAAAATAAAAGCAGAGGACTCTGTCACCGATGTAGGTGAGCTTTAGCCAACACACAAATTAACAGCAGAAGGAGAAAATACAGGGTGATGCAGACAGGCCTATAGGTCAGGGGGCCCATTTGGCCATATGAGAATGTGTATGTAGTCTAAAATCACCCCATGAGTTTTGTGGCTGAGGGTGGACTTGAACCTCGATATCCCACTTCCTAGTTCAATATCTTAAACACTATTTCACTAATATTCAGAACAGTGACCATATTGGGGATTTGCCAGATGGCAAATTGCTGAGGTTGCTCCCTCCACTCCTTGAATGCCTCCACCCAATTGCTTGCTGCCTCCCATGTAAACGAGGGAGTGAACGCTACACCTTGGAGGTAATTGGAGAGCTTCCTCACTGCATGACCTTGGTATCCATCACAGCACGCTCCTTGTGAATAAATCAAGTATGCCACACTTGGAATATTGCATTCAGTTTTGGTCGTCACGATGTAAAAAAGATGTTGACACTCTAGAAAGAGTGCAGAGAAGAGCAACAAAGATGATTAGGGGACTGGAGGCTAAAATATATGAGGAATGGTTGCAGGAACTGGGTATGTCTAATTTGATGAAGAGAAGGACTAGGGGAGACATGATAGCAGTGTTCCAATATCTCAGGGGTTGCCACAAAGAAGGGGAAGTTAAGCTATTCTCCAAAGCACCTGAGGGCAGGATAAGAAGTAATGGGTGGAAACTAATCAAGGAGAGAACCAACTTAGAACTAAGGAGAAATTTCCTGACAGTTAGAACAATTAATAAGTGGAACAACTTGCCTGCAGAAGTTGTGAATGCCACAACACTGGAAATTTTTAAGAAGTTGTTGGATAACCATTTGTCTGAAGTGGTGTAGGGTTTCCTGCCTGGGCAGGGAGTTGGACTAGAAGACCTCCAAGGTCCCTTCCAACTCTGTTATTCTATTCTATTCTATTCTATTCTATGCTATGCTATGCTATGCTATGCTATGCTATGCTATGCTATGCTATTCTAAAGTCTCTGGCATGTCAGCCATTTTGTGTGGCACACAATTTGTTTTAAAAATGCCACTCCTGGCCTAAAATAAAAATCCCCTGATTTCTTTTAACGCAATAATACTTCGTTGTCTCTCACTTTTTCCCATATAGGAGAAGAGATAGACATGGGGAACAAACCAACAAGGGAGTTTCCCTTGGTGGAAAATGACAACACAGACAGCCTTGTGTTTCTGAAACAGGTAACCCTGGAGCTGCAACAGATCAAGAAGCACCTGGCTCTGGAAGAAGGCAAGGAGGTTTCTGGCCCTCCCATACAAAAAAAATGTGTCCAGTTGGGGAAGTGCCTTTTTTATATCCGCTTTATCTTATCCCTTGGTTTTATAGTCTTCATTGTGGTGCAGTGGACAAGCTGAAGTTCTTTGCAGTCTGGAAGATAGCTTGCTATATTTTGATGGCCCCAGGTCATAGAATGTACACATGCAACACGATTGGGCTAATTCCTCCTTCATCACATTATGACAAACAGCCCCCAGTCTGTGTTCGTATCACACATAGGCTACTGTATTTTTTTAAATGAGCTTTCAAGCTTCTGCTTCTCCTATAATTGATATATGCCTTGCTATATGTGATACTTAATTGCATTTTTACCACTTTACTGCCTGCATCAGTATATGGTCCCAATCCAGGGTGAGGGAAAGTGCTAGCCCAGCAATGCTTTAAAAATTGAAATGGGTCTAATCTGTAAATTAATCTGTAGATCCCATTCAGGAAAACCAAAGGCATTTCAGCCTCCATTCAGATCTATTCTATGTTTCCTTTTCTTCTGGAGAATGTTTGGCTGTGGTCCCAAGACTCCCGTCATCCACAGTCCTCAGCCAATAAACTTTTCTTCAAGAGTTCCTCCACCTAAATGTTCATAACATGAAAAGCTACTATGGAAATGAAAGCCCAAGTATCTCTGCCTCTCTCCTGGTACCTTGCCAACCATATTTGCAAATTAATGCACATAACAAATGAGCAGAGCTTTGATTGCACCATCATGTCCGCCATCTTGCCTTTTTTTCCCAGCCATATCTTGTGGATGCCCCTGACCTGATTTATTTTTAAAAACTTTAGTCCTCTACTTGATCTCAGTGGCAAGACGGGAGGAAAGTATTATAAAGAAATAAATTGTACTTGAATCTTCTCAATGCAAAAACGCTACAAGTGTTGCTATCTGTAACTGATCCTTGAGCAAAGTGTTTTGATAGTGGAGTTGAACTACTACTTTGTCCTTCAGGCAGGGTCTGAAGATGGCTTCCTTTCTTCCTCTGACCATTTTTGGTGGTGCTCCCTTTTCTTTTTTCCTATTTTGTTAGCTGCATCTGAATGTAAACCACATTATGAGGCATATGTGTGCATGTGGGTATTTAATGCATGATCAAGACAGTACATATATAAAATAACTGGTCAATATTATGTAGAAATCTTTATGTAGAAATTATGTCGGATAAAATATTGATACATATATGAGAAAACATATTTATAAGACAAACAAGTCTTGTGCATATTTTCCCTCAGAACCTTATGAAATAAAATTTGTTCTTTAATATAGTGTTCCACATTTTGTCTTCCCAGATTGATGACAAATTTGTGAAAATAAGAGTGGGGAAATGGGTGTAGGAGATGTTTCTGCATCATAAGATGCTATCTTTAAAGCACGCCCCAGAGCTCCTTGGGGATGTAGGGATAATGATCAAGACAAGCTCTCTCAGCAGTGAGATCCATTCTCCATTAATGCTTGGTTGAAATGGTTTTTGGGTCCATACCTGTTCTCTCTTGGTTGGAAGAGAAGAGATGTGGCGTTCTAATCATAGAAGAGTGAGGAGATTAGAATGGCTACCTTTTAATCCTTATTCTAGCCTAGAAGCTCTTGGAAATAAGTTATCAACATGGTCTCTTTCAACAGAAATGCAGCAATGCCATCAGTAACCTGTGTCTGACTGTAGCCTAACCAGCAGGATATTAACAAGATAGTGAGGAACAGATTTAATGAGTTGAGGAACCAGGTTGTAGAAATGATTAGAGCTAGTTTTCTTAAAGTAGAACCTGGCCAGAATGCTATTTGAATTAATAGCATCTTTGTTCTGTGTGTGTATGTGCAGGCATGCTTTTGGCTAGAGCAGCAGGTAATGAGTAACTTTTTTTTTAGTTTTTGGTTTTTGTTCTTTCAATTGCAATATATATATCAATACCATAGGAAGACTAAAACTAGATTTATTGAGATAGACTATAATAAGAGTAACTTCCAAATCTGATTGTGTTGGATCTCCCTCTCTTCTTATACTCCCATGAATCAAGGAAGTGTCTGTCTTAGCCTCTTCCAAACCTTATCTCTGTACTATAGATTTACGACACAGGTCATCCTTTTTTGCTTTGATAGAGGTGTAAAAAAATCATTTCATTTCCCTCTACAATCACTCACTTTCCTCCTGAAAGCAATTTAATTTTAGCATATTCTTCAGCCCTCCCTATTGAACAACTGAAAGGACAGAAAGCAGGGGGGGGAAATCTCCACTTTACCCAATTCTAGGTATGTTAGCACTCAAAAGGATTTCTTTGGAGAAAAGTTGCTGGTCACAGTTCTCACTGAATAAGATAATAAAGGGAAAAGGCTTAAAGACACTTTCTGATGTGGGGCGCAAGGGGTGGACCCACTACATCCCAGGCAGGCACATGCATGTACTCTCCACATACACCTAATCAAGTGATGTTGGTTAACAGATCTTGGCTTAAAATGATGAACAGAACCACCATGATTTAAAACTTGCCATACTATGGTGCTAGATATATTGAAAATGCTTTGTCCAATTACAATCTCACTGGAGAGTATTCTACATTATTCCATTAGAATGGTCATTTTATATCAAAAAAGATGATGTTGATTTGGCATGACTGAATAAACTCATTTTGGCATTCCTTTCTAAATGCTCACAAACTCAATGACCTGTCCAGAAATTTATTCGGACATTAAGATGACCAATCTGTAATTTGCCAATTGTTTTTTTTTAATCTTGTCTCTTTTTTGAACACAGCAGATTCAAGCTGCACGAGTCTTTTTTTTTTTTTTTACAAACTTGTTCTTGAACATTCAGACAACCCATTCTATATTGGAGTTCTGAAGACCCAGCACTTCAGGTGAGGGCTGGGGAATGCTGAGAATTGGTCCTCTGCATTTGGAAGTATATCTAGTAGAATATTTTTGTGATATATGTTTGACACTCATTATGTTTTTAACTCTATGGGCTGGTTTACATCAGCCATTCAGACTCTTCAAGAATTGAGGAGCATACAGTAGATATCACAGCAAGTAAAAAGTAAATAAATACATAATCTCTCATTGCACATGGGCTTGGTGCCTTATGAACCCGACTCTCTATAAATACACTGAAATGATTAGTCCTCCTTATTTTCTGCAATTAGTAAGCTAGGTTTTTCTATTGTTAGTTGAATACTGATTTGGGTCTTTTTGTTAGCAATGTGCCAGGGTATTTTTGATAGCATGATAATTATAACAGCTATAGCACACATGCCCACAGATGTTAAATTCAGGAGAAATGATATAGAATAACATTTTTATTATATAAGCAATTTAGAGGTTCTGGGAGGTCAGTCCTGAAGTAACAGCATTTTTTGCTGTAAGAAAGCAAGTTTCCTTCCAGTGGACTTTTCAAAAATTGGCAGTGACTAAATAGCAATTTACAAACTGTGAAAGTTGAGGAAGCAAGTAACTGGTATATTTCTGGAACATGCTTCCATTATCTCTTGCCTTTGGATGTGCTGCCAGTCCCGATTGCAACAGCTGATGTATCAAGACATTTGCCTTTTTTACAGATGAAATGGGGAAGCACCCACTTTGCCTTTCAGATAAGCCATTCTCCCAAAAAGAAGAAGAAAAAGCCCAGCTTCCTTATCATGTCATCCTGGCTCTGCTAATCTTTCCAGTAAATCTCTGTGCAACACACTTTTATATTTAGATACATATATATGTCTGTATTCTGGATAATGATGCAAAAAAGAAGAGGAAGAAGAAAGATGATTAATGTTCAACAAGACAAGCTAAAGGAGATGGTATCTCCCTTGATTTTCTCCACTGCTGCCTCTGGAAAAAAGAAGCGTACAGGCTCCAGAAAGAGATATGGCTGTCCATTTGTGGTGATAGTTTTCACATGAAATTCCCAGCCTTCACTCTCCACAAAGTAAACCATTAAAATAGCATTTCCTGCCTCTAAATAAGTTGCTTTCTTCTGAAAATATGAGATGCTCTCTCCCGGCCCTGCAGGCATGCCAGCATAAACCAACTTCAAAGGGAAAACATTTGCAACTTTATAGAGGAGTAAAAAAAAAGGTTCTCACATATAAACAGACTGAGATTGATCTATAACAGGGGTCCCCAACCTTTCGGACCTCAGGGACCACTAAATTCATAATTTTAAATCCCACGGACCACTAATCTGATCTGCCTAATGACAGGCTGGGTGGGTGTGGCAAGGTGGTCATATGACTGGGTGGGCGTGGCCAACTTGATGTCACTCATGATGAGTGGTGCCTTGCAAGCCTCTGCTTGCCACTCCTCGCCTGCCCGCCCGGGCTCCTTAGGGCCCAAACAGGAAGCAGTTGTTGGGGCTAAGCAGCCACCATGAGAAAGAGTTGGCAAAAGAGCTGGCTCAGTTCAAATTGGATCTGACCAAGAAGGAGGCTCAGCAGAAGCACCTCACTGAGGACTATGAGCATAGCTTTCCAAGCAGAGGGAAGACCTGCGGGAGTGCAAGGCCAGGTACTGGTGCCTGGAGGCTTAGCGGGCTGAGATGGTCAGCCAGTTCCAGGACATGATGCTGTCCCACTGAAACAAGGCCCTCCGGCTCTTTGCCACCAGTGGCACTTCCCTCCAGCCTTCGCCCAAAGCCCCACACCAGGAGGCTGAAGCAGACCCCAAGTCGGAATATCTGCCCCCCTCTGACCTGCACAAAAACACCCTGAAGGGGGAGACTCTCTGCAGCAACACAAACGTTCATTGCACATATCCAGCCCAGGGGCTGTAGATTGAGGACCCCTGATTTAGTGCAATATAAAAAATGCAAATAATTTTTCTGCCGACCACCAAAATTTTCTTGTGGACCACCAGTGGTCCACAGACCACCAGTTTGTGACCACTGATCTATAAGAGCCAAGGATCGCACGGGGGGGGGGATATTTAAAGAGCTAAGAAATAATTAAGCTGGAAAATAATGGTACAAAACAAAGACATAGGAACAAGGACAAAAAATTAATAGATTAAATACAATAGTAGAATAAGATAAGATTTTTCTCTCCTAAGAAAAATAGAAACAAGCATAGAATAAGCATAAGGAATAAGGAATTGGAATTTAATTATGTACAATAAAACATATTTCTGTAAGAAAAACAAATGCAGTCTTTGTGATCTGTACCATACTTAAAAATGCCTAACATTGCAAGGTAAATATTCAAAGGGTTAAAGCACCCATCCATAAAATGTTGAGTTTTATATAAGCACATTTGGCTTTTTAACACATCATAATTCATATTTGAACAAATCCAATATTATTAATTCCAGGATATACAACATTAAATCAAATGCAAACCAAAAACTGAAATACTCCAACTTTTACAACAGTGTAATAAGAATGTTAGTTAGAGGCAACAATCCTATACAATCTTAGTAGTAATAAGCTAAATTGCAGGATTCTTAGAAAAAAAGAGGCAGATTTCGAAGGCTCATGTGCAATTACTTTATTTAATAGAATCATGAAGAAGAATTGATGTTGCACAATGCTTTCAAACAGCCAGTGTTTATAAGTCAGAACCAAGCTTGTGTGGCCAATGAGGATATTTTATTGGATCAAATGTAGGATCCTTAAATTTTTCAGGTAGATCGTCGTATACCATATTTTCAAAAGGTATCATGTTTCTCAGTTCCTGAAGCTTAAGAGAAAAAAAAAGAACCACCATAATTACCAACACATGATAAAGAGAAATGCTGAAAACCAGCAGGACAGAAATTATTAGGAGAAAATAAAACACAATGTCAAGATCCTTTTGTATAATTAAAATTGCTAGCTCACCTCCTCCTCATATTCAACAATGCGGGCTTTAGAAGCCTGTACGAAGTCAGCAGCAGTCTTATCCTGAAAGAAGAGATAGCAACATTATGAGAAACTTTGGTTCCAGAGAAGCTATCCGTGGACTTAAATGTTTACTTATGGGAGCAGAGGCCTGAATGGATCTGATCACAAGACATGCCTCCCAATGCCTCTCCAGTCCATATAAGCCTAATGTGGCGCAGTGGTTAGAGTACAGTACTGCAGGCTATTTTTTTTTACTTCTGGCTGCCTGCAATTTGGCAGTTCAAATCTCACCAGGCTCAAGGTTGTCTCAGCCTTCCATCTTTTCGAGGTGGGTAAAATGAGGACCCAAATTGTTGGGGGCAGTAGGCTGACTCTGTAAACCGCTTAGAGTTGGCTGTAAAGCGCTGTAAAGCAGTATATAAGTCTAAGTG